CGATATCGTTGTGCGCAAGTATCCAGTGTGTGATACTGGTACTCGCGCGCAGTTGTACAAACCGCCATCGGTCCGGGCAACATTGCTTACGTTAGGTACCATTTAACCTTAAATGGTAAATTCAGTAGTGCAGTGGCTATATCTCCTACCTCACGGTCTACCACAAAAAAGTGTTTATTTTTTCCTCCAGCGTTAAACTACGTAGGCAGAACCCGTTTTTGCTACTGTCATCACAAGCAACGCACATCTGAAGTTGTTTGACAGTCAAGTTAAAGCAAGTCCTCGCGTTCTCTTTGCTATACTATAGAGTTTCCCTAAGTTACCTGGCCATTTGCAAACCTGGGTTGTTCGTTGGCTGAAAGATGTATTTCAAAGCGTTGAGGTGGCTCCGTACCACTACACAGAATACAAATTATGTCAATTTATAAAGTTGCCTGATTTAAAATAATACTAAAGGGATAGTGTAATTAACAGATAAGTATAATATTTTGTAAGAGTTAATAATAAAATTTTAATTTATTTGCTTATTTTTATTGCACTAAACCTTAAATAATTATATAATTTGTTCTTAAGTAAGTAAAAAAACTATGTTACATNATGATTTAAAGATAGTAGACGTAACTTTTGCATGATATCTGCAATACACGCTTACTATTTAAAAATGAATTAAAAACTGTAGGAGAAAATTTCCGTCAATTGCTTTCTGTTATAAAAAATAATTATAGAAGTATGGTTATATGGGGTACTATAAGGTAATCATTTATTTGGAGCTCTTTTTATATTTCAAAATTAAATACAAACATTTGTTCGGTTAATGAATATTTTTCTAAATTACTTTTAGAAATTGGAAAGGAAAGAACAAAATCGTTTAAGATTTCTAAAAAATAGAAAGTCAATGATGTATGTTTAAAAATATTCAGTAAAAACAATAAATTTTTTTTTAAATAGTGTAGTTCTGACTGCTTATAATAAGTAGACGATTTTTTTAAATAACAAAATTTTGAATCTAATAAGAAAAAATACCATGACTTATTATAGCATAGATGATGCCGCATACAATGGTGTCGATAAATCGGATAATCTCATTTACATAAATCTTCCTATTGAAGTACTAAACAATGATAGTAAAGGTTTGCTACCTCATGAACTAAATTTAAAAGTTGGAGCATGAGTTATGTTAATAAGAAATTTAAGTATAGCTGACGGCTTATTCAATATATTGAAGCTTAAGTAATAACAGGAGGAAAACTTGAAAACAAAGTCGTAATATTGAAAATTATTTTAAATGCAAGTTATACTTCGTTGTAACTTTTCATACTTTACAAAAAGCAATTTTATTTAGCCTTAGCATTCGCTATGACAATTAACAAATCTCAAGGGCAAAGTTTCGATAAAGTAGGTTTAGACTTAATAAGCTTTTTTTTCTCATGAACAACTATATCTGTCGTTATCAAGGTGCAAAACTAAAGAAGGAATATTTATGCAAATGAAACGTGAAAAGAATTTGGAAATAAAGAACGTTGCTTGGGAAGAAGTTTTCGGAAGTACACTTTTGGAAAAAAAAAAAAAAAAAAAAAAATAAGGAATTAAAAGTCATCATGACAATTCTAACAACATTATTTAGCATTAGTTAATGACATGATATGTTAATCCTTTATTGTGTTATAGGTTTGTTGAAAATTTTTAAGCTCAATTTTGAACCAGGATGAATATTCAGATTATTTTTTGAAATACAATTAGTCATTCAATTTTCGTTAGCAAAATTAGTTTATTTATATACTTACTTCAAATATGTATTAAATAACAATAATTTAAAACAAAGAAATTTTTTTCTTGAATATGCTAGCATGATTTGTTAGTCCTGTCAGTTTAATATAACACAAAAAAATATTTTGAGATCATTAGAATCAGAACGAGAGTAAATAGTTACAATAATACGTTTAGAAAAAGATAGAAATCAATAAATAAAAAAGTTAAAATAAAGGATTTAAAAACACATTCGATTGGATTGCTCGGAGAAAAAAATGATTAACAAATTATGCTAGCAGATTCATGAAAAAAGTTGACAGGAATATAGAGGATCGAAAAGAGTTGAGCATAGAAGAATTTAAAAAGATATTGCAAGATTAAAGTTAAGAAAATCGCCAGGAAATAACAAATTAGTTAATAAAATATTGAAGTCTATCTCGAAAGATGTAGAAGTAGCTCTATGGGATTTTATCAAAAAAATTTGTAGGAAAAGTAGTTAGCCAAAGTAGTGGAAGAGAGAGGTAATACGTCTGATGTATAAAAAAATGTGACAAGGTGACTTACAGAGAAGTATTGATGGGTAACGTTAACCTGTACAGCTTACAAAATACATACATAGATGTTGAGTAAAATTCTTCAGATAAATATGGAAGGAAACTTAGCAGAGAGATAGTTTAGTTTTAGAGAAGAAAGATGAGTGATAGAAACTGTACCTACTTTGAAATACGCAGTAGAAGAGTATTTGAGCTAACAAAAAAGGGAGGTTTTCTCGTACTTAATAGATGTTAGGGAAGCACTGAGTCAAGTTAATATGGGTGCACTACAGAAAAAATTACGAGGTATAAAGTTGAGTAAGAATTAATCAATAAGATTATTGATGCACATCAAAAACGAGAAATGTTTTTATACTAGGTGAAAAAACATCATAATAATTCTGGATGGAGACAGGAGTGAGACAAAGCTGCCCAATGAAAAAGACGTTAAATATTGTAATAAGCTTTAATTGCTGAGAGTAAAAAATGAGGAAAGGGCATGTAGAAGAATGTAGAGTAGGCAATGAGAAAGTATGGAGCTTGTTATACGCAGATGATTATGTTCTAATTGTAGGTAGAGAAAAAGAGAATTAGAAAATGTTACAAAGATTCAGAAAATATGCTGTACAAAAGGAAACGATAATAAGCGGTATAGAAACATAAACCTTTATTAGCGAGACAAAAAAGAATAGATAGAAGTTTGAGATGGGAACAAAAATAGAAGAAATTGATATAAATTGGATGGTTAGGATTATAATACAAAGAAACGGTTGTAAAAAGCGGTATTCAGAAAAGAGAAAGAAGTAAATGGTAATAGCTATGGATGATGCGTGGAATATACAAAAAAAAGAATGTCTAATAACAGCTAAAAAAAAAAAATTAAGTTATGAATGACATTAGTATGAAGCATAACATTATAGCAGAACTATGAGGTAGGTATTGATATAAGAGACTAAAAAGTGTACAAAGAAAATATGGAAAGTGGTTATTAAAGTTTAATGATAACTTACCAAACTATGTAACCAAGAAAGAACGTAAAATAAAAAAAGGCAGATTGTAAGCTAAAAAGAGCTTAAAATTCTGGAGGAAAAGTTAAAGATGCGAAAATGAAACTTGTAAAAGAAGGTATCAGAGAAAAAAAATGAATTTGGAAATTCAAAGTGATCAGTGATCCGTTGGGGGTGAAATGTGAGAAAATAAATAAATACAATTAAAGTGTATTTAAATTTTCTTGCGTTGATTTATTGATGCGCAACGTTTCGCTGACAATATGCGTCAGCCTCATCAGGCTACAAAATTAAAATTAAAAACACACAATGAGTGATCTGGAAGGCTCAAACACAAAATACAATCAGAGTCAGACTAAAAAGACACAAATATAGTAATCATAACAGAAGCACTACAAACACCTACCCTCTCTGCAAAATTGGCATACCATACATTGACAATAATTTTGAAAAAATTTCAACCATGTTAAAACCCTACAATATTCACANAAGAAAAAAAAAAAAGAAAAAAACAATAATTGAAGTAACTGTTCGAGCCTTTTTATACGCTCAACTTCACACAAAAGTAGACATCTCAGTATGTGTCAGTATGACATATTAAAACTGTTTTCATCGTGTAGCACTCACTGACCCTATGTTATGCAAACTTATAAAATACTTGTCTCTTAACCACATTAACTCGTATTAAAAATTAAAAATAACGTTATTTACTGAATTACAGTTTTAATTATAAATGGTTTATTATGTAGTAGGATAGTATAAATATGTTCTCACGGACGTAAATTAAAAGTTTGACCATTTACTTATTAACTTTGTGTGATGTAAATCATACCTTTTTTGTGATTGCTTTTATTCAACGAAATATAAAATTTATCTACAGTATTATTACTACCTTAAGTTCTAAGGACGCCAACTCTTTTAGAGTAATTTTAAGATTTTAAGCTTTTTCATACTAAATAATAATTAAAAGCGATGTAAGAGGTAGAATGTAAAGTTCCGTTTTATTTTAAGAGCTATCGCACAATCAGTGGTTGTTTGAGCTTGTTATCTTTTTGGCTAAAAAACAGACCACTTACTGCGTACTTAACGATGTTACACTGCTGGTAGTAGTTACATTGTATTAAAAATCTGAAAAATGCATAAACTAATACTTTCAATAAATTAAAAATATGTTTTGGTTTTACTTACATAAAATTTTTGCAAATAAAGTTTATAACACCAAAAAAAATACTCATTCATGTGCTAACTGAAGTTTTGACCCTTGAGACTTATTATATTATGCCTTGAGATAAACAACAAATAATAAAAACGCTAGAAATGTTGTATAGGGTTGGCTAAGAAGTTTTGTCGAATTGATACCGACAAATAAGAAATCTTAGTGAAAAAGCCTTGAAAGTTAGTATATTTAAATTCAGATACATTACACTTCTAAAAATGCTTAATATCTCATCAGATCGACCTTTTTTTAAACTAATGCATTTATATGAATTTTCAAATATAAAACGTTTGTATTTTAGAATTTTACAAAAAGTACTATTAGGCCACATTTTACAGATTAAATTAAGCATTTGTTTTTCTTATATAAAATGTAGTTATATAAAAAATGGTATGAATCTAGTATTTATGTAGTGAAGATAATTTCATCTGCAACACTTACGCTAGTTTACTCAAGGGAGAAGTGATTATTTAAATACTTACATTTATATTTTAGGGTTCCAAATGGAAGACACATTATTTTCATGGTTTCTTATAACAGAGCTACATGTTTGGTTGTTGATGTTGCAAGTTATGCAAAACAGTGAAGATGGACTTAAACTTCGGAATTATATAGTTCAAGCAATGTGGGATGATTTCAATATTCGGGCAAAAAAATTGGGGGTAAGTAGATTCTCATTATTATAAGCAATAATATTACTTCGTCTTTGAAAGAATATAATCTTGATGAGTATTGATTAAATTTTAGAAGTTATTGGATGAGTAATTGAGTTTTTAAAAGCAGACTCTCAGAATATTACAGTAGTTGAAATAACCATACTGGCCTAGACATCAGACAGAAAAAAGGAGATTAAATCGTTTTCTTTGCCTCGATCCACTTCCTCTGCCGAAACTAGTTCATTTCCATTCATATAACGTGCCCTAAATTTGTTACAACATTAACCCTCTACTTCATTTATTTTATCATTAGTAAAGTAAGAAAATTGATTTTATTCAGTTTTTTCGTAATATCTTCTCTTTGATACATAAATCAGTACATGCCATCGATGAAAGTTTGCAAAAAATTAATATATCCATACAAAATGCGTAGCGATGTCTTACATGTCATTAACTTGCAAATAGTGTTTAAAGTTGAAAAAGCTCGTCTTTTTTAACATTTAATATTTATAAACTAAAATCATTTGCAAGCTTGAAATTCGTATAAATTAACTATATTACTAATATATTAACAATTGTAACAAATTTAAAGACCATGGCTTTTGAACTTCTTAAATTCTTGGAGATCGAATAGGGGTAAGCAAAAAAGTAATTTTAAATAAAGTACAGACAGAAAAAGAAAAAAACCAAAAAGCTTGAAGACTTTACGTTCAGCTGTAAATACAAGTGTACGGAAACAGAAAATTATTTAGTATATTTAAAAATAAAAACTGATTTAAAAGACAGGAAGTTGGTCACTAGGTTTTGTTGAGGTAATGAATGCAAAGGCAAAGAATATTGAAAAGAAAAGGAAGATATGCAATGACGATTTTGCAATGAAGTAAAGAATCATGGAAACGTATTAGAGGAATGTAGAAAAACCAGCCATGGAAACAGAATTAAGAAAATACTAAAGAAATACTGAGAAGAGTAGTTGAAAAAAGAAAATAAACAAAAAAAAACTAATTTAGAAAAAAAGGATTGGAATTGCAGATATAAAGTGTGAAAGTGAAGTAAGTATAAGAGGAAGGTGTACAACAAAGTGTAGTATTATATTGTTTAAAACTATATGGACTAAAAGAAAGTTAAATTATATTGAAATTCATGTATTATAGTGCAAAATTTATCAAATGCTATTAAAGTTTACAAAATTACGATGAATCTTTTCTACTAGCTATTTTGAATACTAGTCTTAGATTTGTTCAAATTTCAATACTGATCTCATTGTTGGACTCTTTATAATTGTAGATAATGAACATTGGAATATATATGAAAAAATCTCACTGATAGAAATCTAATTTTTGAAGTTTTCGTTTTATTATATAAAATGTAAGCTCTTTTATTTCAGAAAGGACGGAAAGAAAAAAAAAAAAGAAAAAAACAAAAAAGCTCTACTCACATAAATCCGGAGATGTCACTGCCGAGTGCAACGGAGNAAGATTTAAAATTTCAAATGGCTCTAAAAGGTATACAAGCAACATTGATATATTTATCATCGTATTGATTGGCGCATTTGTGGATAGCGGCACTTTTATATCAGCACTCTTTAAAACCATCCATACCCTTTTAGATAACAAATATACTAAAGACTCATGACCAAAATTAACGTATTTTCTATTTCAAGAAAATTTCTTAAGAAATAAGTAAGAATGAGAAAAATATCCTCCCTGGGTGCGGATCGAACACACAACCTCCTGTTTATAAGACAGTTGCTCTACCACTTGAGCTACCGTGAAGCCGTACATTAACTTGTACCGTAGATTTAATCTGACTTAAGAAATTATGAATCGAGTTGTATTCAATTAAGTAAAAGCCAATACATGACTTATTTATCTGAATTTTCTGAAGCTTTATTATTATAGCGTTGGAGGCTTACTCTATACTATGTGTGTTGATAGTTATTATTTATGTGACAACGCTGATCAGGGCCATTACAATGTTAGCTTTATAAAAATGTTTAAGGCTTTTGCATGAAAGACAATAAACATGAGTGATTTATTCTGATTTTTTGAAAATAAAATGATTTCGGACTTTAGAAACGTCTCATGTTATTAGAATTCAATCTGCTCCGTACTTCTCAGTATACACTAGGACCTTCGTTCGTAGAGGTGAGACCAACTTCGATATATGCATACCTCTTAGACATTTTCAAGCTTTGCGTGAAATTAAGAAGTAAATAAGATACTAGCCTTATATCGACTGAGGGTACAGAATTTCTGGCTACGTCACAAAAGGGGACAAACAGACTTCTGTGCTATTCTGGTTCTTCATCTCAGAGGTAGCTTGTGTACAGATTCAGACAAACCAATTCTTGTCATAAACCTAGCTAAGGACTTTTTTAAAAGTAAAATTAGTGAATAATATGTTATGGACAAAAATTCGTACTATGGCGACAGAAGATAGTGAATTTCCTATCCATCAGAGCGATGTTATTGCTCCTCAAATACTGATACAGGCCTGCATCGCAATAACAAGAAGTCAAGAGACATGGAACCTCCACTGCCCGAAGTCTTACATAAATCCTACCCCTGGAATTCCTGTAAACGTCCCAGATATGTTTGCCTCTTCAGAGGAGCCAGGAGTGTAAAAGTACTATAATTTTCTCGGAGCAGTTGCTCCATGGCTAGTATCAGACTTTGGAAGGCCTTTCTCAGCATTTAGACGTTAATTTCTGAAAGTAACTCCAACAAGATTTTATTCAGGACTCTTTTTTTCTAAATCTGCACAAGCCAAGTTTATCAAGGCATTAGGATCCCCCTGAATACTATTTCCAGGAGCCAAGTAAACGTTTTGGAAATCACTTGTCAGCTAGGGCATGACTCGCTAACTTTGTCAGCCTTCTTACAATCTAAGAAGGTGCTTTTTAGTGATCATACTGTCACTACGATTGTTTTAGATCGTCGGATCCGTCTTCTAGTTAAGCACTTAAGTATCAGGCTAGATCCAGAAAGTTCCTTGATTTTCTTTGTATTTGTACGTAGTGGTTTGTAACCCTTAATCTTATGTATGTGTTGCAGTCATAGATTATGCATGTCTGTGTAAGTCAATGAATTCTTTCAAAGTACGGAAATGAATAAATCTACCTTCCAAGTTTTTCAATTGCAATTTCAACACTGTCGATTGTTATACAAAAATAAATACAGTTAAAATATTTGTCTGTCAGAGAAATAAAGCACTGAGCACGATGAAAATTTAGAAAATTTGAACAGTAAGATGAACTATAATATGATTTTGCGCGTTCAAGTTAGAGTACCATCAATCTTTCTGACCAAAATTAAAAAATTTAAACTTTAAAGTATGCAGTTTGCATAAAGAATATGCATTTTATAATTGCGTTTTAAATTAACCGTAAATTATAAGTTTAAAATGTGGTTAATAGTATTAGAAATAAGTTCAAAATCGTTACTTTAGGGTTTCTGGGGTCGCAAAACACAAACATCGCTGCGTGTATAGACTTTAAAGTACCTTGTACCCAGAGTAAACGGTATCCGCATCGTCTCTGTTAATCGCTGTTATTATAACGTCATTCATACTAAAACTTTGTACAGTTCTTCAATTATTCATTTTCATGTTATAAGAGAAGAGTGGATTCAAACATTATATCGAGTAGTTTGTTTGTAGAACTTGTTCATTTGTAGAGATGCATGTATATTTTATCATAGAAAAAAAATAAAAAATCATGTTAAAGAGTAACCTACAGCCAACTACTAAGATCTTATACTATGTCTTATCTTTACTGTAACTTGCAATAACAAAATTCCATCTTGTACATAACTCATGCAGAAAGTGTGTAGAAATAGATGAAGTTTACTAATGTGAAAGTGAAAAACCTCTTGTTAATATGCTTGGAATAAATAAATTGTAGAAACAAAAGTCAACTCAAAATAAAGGTTATACATCAATTCTTACAGGCTCTTGTTGGTAATGAATAAATGATTTATAATTTTGCAGTACCAAGCAATTGTTTAGATATCATAGTATCAACAGTAAAATGATTATTAAAATAAAATAACTCTTTAAGAACATTTTGTGTAAACCTTGTCAATAACCACTATCATTACTCCATGTACTTTAGTAGAAAAATAAAGGTGTCGTAACTTGCTTTCATAATTATTTTATGTATGCAATTTCATAATTTTTCAAATATTTATGAAGTTAAAACTATTACTTAATTTTCAAGTTCGTACTATGTTATATTTATTTCGCAATCATCTTTTTCTCGTATACAATAATTCCCTGTTTTGACATACACACTAGAAATTTGGTCCATAAATAATTAATGTGTAATGTAAAGGCAGAAATCATTTGATTTTTCGCTTATTTTTGAATACAATAAAGCTGCATCTACTACGCATGCTCACACAGGTAAAGCTGTCACACTCATTCCAGCTCTCAAGTGAAACATTACTTCACAGACACCTAACAGTTATCCTACAGTAATTTTTCACGTTTACAAATATTTTGCTTGGTCTTAAAAAAATCTATGAGTCAACATTAACGAGCCATTAAAAGCTATCACGTCGAAAAAATTCTTTTATATCAAGAGCAATATTTTCAAACAAAGATTGCTTAAAAGGCTATAGCGGGTGAGATAGTCGAAATTTTTTCATCCTGGATATTTACTATTTATAAGCTGTTTGGAAGGACATATTATAATATCGCTTTAGCCAAATTGTAAGTTTTTTGAGAGGTGACAGAATGCTGCTGTCGTAAAAAACGAGTTTTTTTGAAAAACTTTCTTTGGCCTTACTGTAAGCTCTAAAAAATTTGAAAAATTTCAGAACGTTAGTTTGTGAGTAAGAAACATAGGTTTTTTAGAAATTTTTGGGATTTACATTAAATCCAAAAAAAATTTATAAAAATTCTAACGATTTCTTATAGTACAAAGATCATATCAGCTAAAATCAAAAGCAACAATTTTGTGTTTTTTTTCTGTTCTATCGAATAGTGAAATTGTTTTTTGCATT